AGCTACTTCTTTCAGTTGGTGAGAACCCAAAATAATTTGAAAATAAATACTCATTAATGTCATTCCAGGGCCACTTAGTGAGTCTACATACCAATGCTTGCCGATGCTGTTAACTCCTTAAAATAATTTGTAGCAAGCTGTAAAAATTTCAGTACATTTTATGATCAACTCACACATTTTACTCATACCACAAATAATTCCATTATTTTATATAATAGTTTACATTTATCACACAATATAACTAGTATCCTTACTACAAACTACTTGTACGGTGGATTATTTGTTGTTATACTTACAAGTAGGTAGTTTAATATAATTTTTAACTCATTTTGCTACCTAAGTAGGTAGTACAGATTACTTTGTTGAATTTAGAAGTTTTAATACGTAATATAATCATTAAGCAAATCGAAGTTATGAGAAATTACGAAATTTAAAAATATTTGTAGCCACTGGTCAAGGTCAAGTTTATGGTTACGTCAGTTCGGGATTTCCATAATATTTATTGCCAGTTGCCTTAAAAATATACAAACTTAGGTAATGTATTGTCAAAAATACCAGCCAACTGTTGGTTGCCACTGCCATCCACCGCACGTCAAAGCCAAATCTACTTACTATCGTTAGATATTTCAAATTTTTGAGCAAATTTAAGAAATACTTATTTAAATTTCAACTATATAAATATATAGGTGATATATGTAACAACTTTTTAAGAATAATGTATACCATTGCTTTGCTGCGGAGACAAGCTAGACATGGAAAACACTCTGGCCCGCCGAAAATATTTCACTTGAAGTTAACCAACAAAAGCAGTTAGGTAATCCGTTAGTAAGAAATGTGTTTAAAGAATTCCATGTTGCCCAAGGCTCATCTTCAAGCTGTTTCCACTAAGCCAATGTAATCGCTGATTACACGCTTAACCTTAAGTAATTCCGACACATTTCTTGAATGGGTAAAGCTGGAGCATAGCCGTAGGATATATATCTGGAACCATGGACTACCTAATAAGATCTGGAACCATGGACTTTTATGTAAAGTACTTGTAGGTTGTCCCATCACCGTTCTCTGAACGATGTTATCGGATGCTATAATAATGTTTCCTCTGTTTTAGAGCATTGTGGAATATTTAGAGACGATGGCAGGAAATCTATTTGCTGTAGAGACTATCCGGCCGTGGAGTGCACGTGCAGTGATGTTCTTAAAATAACTCTATCCGTGACTTGTCGTCGCCGATGGCGATAAAAGTGCGGGTTCTTTTCTAGCTCAAAGGCCATTCAGCAAGGAAACTTAGCCAGCAGTTTTGACGCCACCGCGGGGAATAGAAATGTATGACAATATTAGTTTGTAACTTTAGTTTTATTATGGTAAAAACTGTTAAATATAATATATTTTGATGTTATACATATTATAAAATAAAATTTCAATAATATAAACATTTCTTCGCAATATTGTAAACGCGTCACATTGCTATGTTTATGAGAGATTTGGCAACAGTATAATATATATACTGTACAAATAAATACAATTGAAGTGTCTGTTTGTATGTCAAAATAACAGCTTTTTACTCAATGCATATGAAAGTACATACGGTACTTATAACAAAAATACAATTTATAAAATATTTGTCAGTCCGTCTGTCTGTTTGTTACGTGGTTTGACGGAATTGTCACTGTCAGATGGCTGATGTTATAAGGAGTAATTTAGGCTACTTAAATTTAGAATAAGAATTAGGGTACCGCGCAAAAACATAAAACCCTAAAATGTATGCGGGCGAAGTTGCGGGAAACAGCTAGTACCTAATAATAATGAAGATAGAGTCCTATGACATGTTAACACTAGAAAAAAAATGATATAGGTATAGCTCATATCACCGTTACTTTTTTCATCGTTTACTCTAGTTCAAATGCGTAGACATTTAATTTACAAAATTGCATCACAATTATATATCAAATCCAGTTTAAACTTTAGTCCTTATTTTAACAATATTCATAGATGTATAAAAAAGGCGGACAGATTCTCCCTATACAACCCAGTGAAGCACCCAAAATAAATCGGCTCGCTTGTACGTACAAGGCGTCACGCACGCATTCACACTAATAATAAGCCCGCCATTACGCAACAAACGACGTCTAACGCGAGAAGGAGCTGTCGTAAAAAAAAATATTCAGTCTTGCGTCATTAAATCTTGTAAAAATCAACTCAAGAATCACTTTTATAGAAAAATCAGTAATTATAATCACTTATTTTGAGATTTTAAATTGCTATTTTTGGAACACAAAATATGCGTCACGTGATCAGTGTTCTTAATAGTTTTTGGGGAAAAATTACCCGAAAGGGAAATTGCTATTTTTACACACATCTTAACTTATCTATGCACACATCGGAACGGATACGGTACATATCATAGATAAGAGTGTATATACGGAAAGTACAATGTTTGACCTAAGAGGTTGTTTTTTGTGCACTTTTTTGTTACAATTTTCCTGAAAAACTTGTGGATAGATTATAATGCGGCTTTTTGCTTTAGATATTCTGATATAGCTTCTGAAAAGGTTCTTAGATAAGAAACATTGTAGAAACAAAATTATTATAAAATGAAATATCTTAAAAAAAACTCCTGCTGGGTTTCTTGCTTGCGTGGCTTTTTCAATGAGTACTCTTGTAATCTGTATTGAAAAAAAAGTTTATATTCTGTTTTATTCTAATAATTTTTTATAAGAACAAATTATAAAAAGAAGCTATGATTATTCTAGCTCATCATCTTTTTCGGTAAACTCATAAAAATTTTAAGAGCTTTAATTTTAAGATACCATAATATATTATCACCATCACGTCTTATATTTTCTTAACGTTCATACGTAAAATCAGTCTTCGGTTCCCTAACAAAAGTTACCTAAGATTCGATTACGTAATAGTTGGTTATTTATTTATTTATACTATGTTTCTTTCCAATTACATAATACAATTTTTGTATAATATAATGTTTGTAATATATATATAGATATATATATATACATATTTATATTTATATAATTAGTACATACAAAAAACTATGAATATATACATGTGCTTAGCAATATATATGACATGAATGATTCATGTAGGCTTCCTACATGAATAATTCGTATTGACATCGGTGTCTTTAATAGGTGATTACGTACCAACTTTTTAAACGCATACTTATTGGGAGCTTTTTGATGTCATCGGGCCGAGGCAGATGCCGAGGCCTGGTTCAGGTTACACGTCTTTGGAACTCCTTCCAAAGACGTGTAGCCTGAACTAGGCCTCTGTCACTTGCTACCTGCGTGAAATAATTACCTACAATCGCGAGCTGCTCCAGGGGTAGATCGCAGTCGGAGCTAGCGCGCTCTAGGCGATTGAATGTTAAAATGTGTTTAACGCTATTTCCGTAAATAATTTTTTGTAAATTCTTGTTGATATAATCGTCGAAATAGTTTTTGTTTACAATGTATTTTTTTACTCTTTATTAACAGCCCTTAGCAACCACGAAAAGTCCGTTGTGACGTAGTAAGGAGAAAAGATGCAAAGTAATTCAGACACTCGCGCGCAGCGATAACCTTTATTGCACGCAAACATACTTGCACCGCCGCCATTGCGGTGCATCAGTTCTTTTTTAACAAAATTCTGTCCGCCTTTTTTTATATGTCCATGACAATATTACTTCTTTTTTGATCTTTACTCAAACGATGATACATATAATACATGTTAACAAAGACGTATTAAAAAAAGATAGACAGATTACACACTAAAATTATTGTATTTTAAAGTGGCGCAGGTAGTACTATATCTACGTACAGTTATTTATTTTGACACGTTGCGCTAACCAAAAGAGACAAATGATACGGCATACCTATCGTTACAAAAAGATACATCATTAGTTGCGTATTGATTGCTGCTGAGCGCTCATAGGCGCGAGCGCGTGACGTACCGATATGGAAATGAACACACTTAGCTAGCGTTAAAGTTTACACTAGCGGTTAGGTGTTGAAATAATAAAACCAATTATGAACAAAACATCTGTATTCAAATTATTAATGAGACGTTTTTCTTGTCTCTAACAGTTGCCGTGTAATTTGTGCACCACCTTAAAACACAGAAAGGCATTTTTACCACGAATAACTATAAGATTTAGGCGCTGTAGCGAAGGTATAGCCACGACGCAAGAGCGTGCCCGACTGAATGCGAGTCGGTCAATTACCTTACTTTCGTATTGCCATTTTAGAGCGAGTATGACGTATCTATACTTTAAAAACATCTTAGCATGTTAAGTGTAAAATTTTTATCCATCTATCCATTACAGCCTATAAAAGTCCACCGCTGGACATAAGTCTCTTCAATATATTGACTTATAACAACAATAGTAGGTTATCATGGGAGTTTTGGCAGGAACTTGATCGTGGGCGGATTGCTACACCTGTTTTATCGTTTAATTAATGTTCCGAAGTGGATTAGATACGTAAAGACGCAACTTTGTTTGTGCGTGTGAATTATTAGTGGAAACGATTTAAGAAGTGCTTTGATGGTGATATTACAGACTGTCAATTTACGCTGTTGCCACTATCTAATTCATGCTTTTCCATAAATTCCCTACAAAAATGACCAATACTACTTTTTGTCATGTTAAGTATATTCGGTATTGAAGTCAAGTGCGACAAGGATCTTAGGAATAAACCTTTATTAAAAGCGATTCAAGAGTGACTGACTACCTGGATCTGTGAACAAAATGTGATCAGTCTAGATTGTATTATGATGGATTCTTTGTCTTTTAGTAATTAAAAAAAAAAAACTCAACTGTTTATTTTGATTCGTTTTTGACAGTTGCTCTAGCTTTGGCTTGCACTCTTGCAGGTACTTGCAGCTGAAAAATGTGAAGTCGATGTCGAAGATACGTTGAAAAAGGCGGGATAGAGAAACTTGTAGTATAAAGCCTTAGAATTTTCTTTAATTCGTTTAATCACAAGCAATTTATTATTTTATACAAGATGTACTGTTATAAAAAGTGTCAAAGTTCTTTTCACGGAAAAATTAGTGAAATCCCAGGTAACTAAACTTACTATATAGTTTTTCTATAGAATTGTATTTTTGTCTATTTATTTCCCAAGATTATTTTGCTACCTATTTGTTTAAATCAAAGGATATTTGTTGTTGATCAGGAATAGACAGAGTTGACACAAATGTTTCTAGAGAAATTAAAGTTACAGCCTACCTAAAATACAACATTTTCTTAACGATATGGTAGTCGCGGATTACTTTAATATTTTTTATATCTACATGGACCCTTTTGAAATTGAATTGAAGTAAAAGAAAACATGGAAATAAAAGAACACTTATTTTTTGATATAACTGGACTCTGGAGGATAACATTAACTTGTGTTTTAATCAAATTTTTAGTAAGATTGCTAGTAAGAAAGTTGTTGCTGCTTAAAGCATGTGTAAGAATGTGTCGTTGCCTTGTGTCTCATTTTGTTTGCGGCTAAATATCTCTGTGCATCGAGTTGTTTTTGACAATGCAAAGCAAAAGTCATTTGTCATGTCTAATCTTTTACAATTTTTTTAATTATCACTAAAACCAAGAAAACTGATTCACAGACATATGTAGTCGCAAACGAAATTAGGGAGAGATATGGCTTGTTTAACAAGCCGAGGTTAAGCTTGTCCTAAAGAATAACAAAAGTTTATTATTTAGTTTACACTCCTTTTGTACTAACTTTATTAGATTTCATATCCATTAATAACATTAAACTATAGTACCTTTGCCACTTACCTATAACCATATTATTATATTAGCAATAATTTTGTAAAAATATTATAATGTTAATTCATTCGAAAATAACTACATAAGTAAGTTCGTAACATAAAGTTAAGTAAGCGCATCTACGGAAATGGAAACTAGTAAATACTCTGTGTGACTCTCATGAAATACTTGACGCTGGCAGAATCCATTGGAAGTTGCCAAACTAGAAAAAAAAATACAACAAAAGTTGCTAACATTCTTTGCATTGAATTCAGTATGCAATACCTCTTTGGATTTTAAGTCAATGGGATCTTCACTATTAACATTATACCAATCAATCATTAGAGCCGTGGTATCTCAGATGTTAAGTGCTCGCTGTAACTTTCACAGTACACAAGCAACCTGGGTTCGATCCCCGCCGGCATCAATGAAATTGTTAATTGCCATTTTAACTGCTGATTTACCACATGCTCGGCGGTGAAGGAAAACATTGTGAGGAAACCTGCATGTCTGAGAAATAACAAAAATAAATGTTTAGAAGACATATGAAGTTCACTAACACGCATTGGGGCAGTGTGGTGGACATTTCCTTGCCCTAAAACCTTCTCAGAAATGAGAGGAGGCCTGTGCCCAGCAGTAGGACATATATAGGTTGTAACTTTAACTTTTAGACTAATCAATCATTAGAATTATAAAAAGATAAAAAAACAAAGCAAAATAACATACTTATTTGTGTCTGCTGAGCTATTCTACTTAATACAAGGGCGGCACTGAAAATTTCGGGAATCAAGGAAGTAACACAACATTACTATTTAAAAATGTATTTATTGCTTTTCGAAGTATTCTCTGCGAAATTTGACACATTTTTCCATACGATGGAACCAATCATTGAAGCAACCATTCCATTCGGAAGTTGGGGTCTCCAAAATGGCCGTTTTGTAGGCGTCCACAGCTTCTTCAGGTGATGAAAATCTCTGTCCACGCAATTTATTCTTTACTTTAGGGAAAGTATAGAAATCATTAGGGCTTAGGTCGGGCCTGCACGGCGGATGGTCTAATAATTCTATGTTTTCTTGCTCTAAAAACTCTTTTGTTCTGTGTGCGGTGTGAGAACTTGCATTGTTGTGATGGAGGATGATGCGGTGCGGTGGTTGCAGTTCTCTTTACGGAGTTCAGAAACGACCTGTGGCAAACAAATGCTAGCATACCATTCTGCATTAACCGTTCTTTGTCCCTCAAGAGGAATAGTCGTAACATGGCCGGTTTTGGAGACAAACATGGCCACCGTTTTTTTTGCAACACTCCGTGAACGAACAATTTTTGTTTGCTTTAACTCATTTTCAAACACCCAAACTCGTGACTGGTTTTTTGTTTCGGGTTCGTACGCATATATCCAGGATTCGTCACCTGATACGATGTTGTATACAGCATTTGAGGATCCTGCGTGGAATCTTTCGAGAGTTCTGACGCACCAAGTAACGCGAGCCGCTTTTTGCTCTTCAGCTCTTCACCGAGCGAATGCGGTATCCATCGGGAAAACAACTTTTTTACACCTAATTGTTCATGCAAGATTATTTGTATTTGACTCATGCCAATGTCTAAAGTTGCCTGAATTTCGCGGTATGTCACATGTCGACCTTCCTCAATCAGCTTACGCACAGCATCAACGTTTTTTTGGGTGACTGCAGTTTTTGAACGACCTTGACGGGGATCATCACTGAGCTTGACACATCCACGTTGAAATTCAGCAAACCAGCGATAAATTGTGGTTTTGGATGGGGCTTCATCACCAAATGCAGAAATCATCCGGTCAACACACTGTTTTTGTGTTAAACTACTTCGAAAGTCATAATAAATCATCGCTCTTGAATTTTCTCGAGTCAATTCCATTTTCTCAACGACTAAACAAGTTTGACAAAACCTTGTGACGAGACCGAGAATCTTTTTTTAAATAAATAAATGGTATTCGATTTTTAAAACCAAGGACTTTTCAATTAAAAAGATTTTAATATGACAGGAACTGTGGAAATATTCCATTCCCGATGCTTTTAGTGCAGCCTATGTAAATACTTTCACATGGATATTGGAGAATGATCAAAACTGCCATAAAGAATAATAAGGAGAAGAAGATGAAAACCATTTAAAAAATATACTGCACACCAATGTCAATGTCTCGATTAAGGTGTTCTGGGCAAAAGAGACTTTAAACAGAGTAATGCTGATTTATGATGCTTTCAGAATTCTATTTGTACTAGTGTTGATAAATTTTTCATAGTTCCATTCATAGGCAGTTTTACATCTATACAAATAAATAAAATTGAAGTGTCCGTTTGTAATGTCAAAATAACAGCTTTTCACTAAATGCATATGAAAGTATATATGGTACTTAAAACAAAAACACAATTTTTATAATTTTTGTCTGTCTGTCTGTTTGTTCCGGCTAATCTCCGAAACGGCTGGACCGATTTTGGTGGAACTTTCACTGGCAGATAGCTGATGTTATAAGAAGTAACTTAGGCTACTTTTATTTTAGAAAAAGAATTAGGGTTCCGTGCAAAAAAAAAATAACTCATAAAAAATAATCTTAATAAATTCCACTCAGACGAAGTTGCAGAGAACAGCTAGTCTATTATAAGACACTGGAGGTCATTGAGCATGTGCTAAGGTCCTCCAGCAGTTCTGACTTAATGAATAAAATAATTTTATTTATTTATTTAAAAACTTAATGTAACACCTTAAGGTAAAGGGTACATAGGGCGGACTAAATGCCATATGGCATTCTCTGCCAGTCAACCTTGGGTGCCAAAGACAATTGTAGGCAGGTGCGAAACATAATACATAAATAAAGTGTATTTATATTAAAATATAATATATGCATAGTACATACATACACAACATGTATTTTAATAAATATGTATTTAAATATATATAATATATATTTACATACAATAATACATACATACATATAAAATATCTGCAAATTGAAGATAAATAATATCGATACCATATCCTTTCCAGTCCAGTAGCTTGAAAATATCTTCCAATGCAGCGGTAAAGTGTTTCAAGCATATAATGTCATCTTGCCGTACATCTATTTGCATTTGATTTATGCATAGTTGTTCTACAATATCATTATATTTTCAGGAATATCAGTGGATAATTTTACTGGAAGTAACGCCACATCAAGAGCTTACTTCTTAAGTCATTTTCACGCTGACCATATTCAAGGTCTTGACGAACCCAGCTTACTGGAACATTTGAAGAAAAAAAATGTGTTTATATATACAACAGAAGTCACATTAACCATAATGAGACATGAGTTTGGAGATTTAGAACTTCTTGAATATGTAAAAGCGTTAAGTAAAGGTAAGTAATATTGGTATTTGTGCATTTGTGTGATGGATTAAGAAAATCCATTCTCCAGTCCATTTTGTTCCAAAGGTGTCGTAAGAAGCTACTAATGGGATAAGCCAAAGAAATCTCATGATTGGAACATATTGTTACGAGCTTGGGGTTCGAGACAATTAAAAATAACTGCCGATTGAATTACCAAATTGACACTTTAATTAAAAAACACTAGTTACAACTTAAAACCACACTAATAATAAAACACAATTGTACTACTGATCACTTTAGTTCGCAGTTATATCGCTTCGAAGTATTCACTTGTATTGCCAATTCAATACTGTCTAGGTCGTGGTCTATACCGGCCTTATATAGGGCCTCAGATGGTTTCCAGAACCTTCTACTGTAGAAACATCTAGTATGTTCTAGTACATATCGGTCCCGAAATTTCTAGAAGGATCTTGACTCTCCTAGTTCTGCTACTCGATACTAAAGGGCGTTAGTGGTAACTAGTGTTGCCATATACAAGACATTAATAGTGGTGTGCAACAATATATGTTTATCTTCTTGACATAGATGGAATGCAATGGGCAGCAGCACTACAGGTGCAAGTCATCTGCAGCTGATAATAAGCAACTGACATGGAATTTTAAAATATTGATTATTTATCCTAAATCTAGTATATATATATAATTATACTTTTTTTGTATTGAATAAGGGTGATAAACAAGCACACAGTCCACCTAATGGTAAGTAGATGCTGTGGCCCATAGTCACCTACATTTATTCTCAATTAAGAATCCAAATGCAGATGCACATCTCCTGTTTCAGTTTCCCTCTCTCGCTTACTACGACACTCACGGGACGATATATGGTAGTATAATTATATTCTCACGCAATCACTGTTACGTAGTGGCCAAAAATAGGCAAAAGACCAATTCCATCAAAAAGGACTAAGATGGAATACCTTGTTCTCTACATTCACCAAAAAAAACACAGCAGCATTAAGCTGCTATTTTACGATGGTATTCTGTGAGAGTGTGGTCATACTCCAGTTGAGCTGACCCATTCATTCTACAACCATAATATAGCTGCAGCGTGGCTCTGTTATTTATAAAGCTTACTTGTTGCATTAAAATTGTCTAATGTTTTGACGAAAAACCCTTGAGTGTTGTAAAAGGCGAGAGATACACAGCAGCATCCTTCGCACTTACGACCACAAGACCAACATTGTGACAAAGAATCTCTTTCAGAATCCAAACTGATAACATTACCCAGTGTTCCGGAAGACAATTTGGAGGAAATGTTTTTAGAAGTGACACTGATTCCTGCAGGGCATTGTATGGGGTCTACCATGTTTCTTTTTAAGACCACAAAGAAAACTATTTTATACACAGGAGATTTCCGTATAAGGTTAGTTTTTTTTTTTATTTTTTATAGGAGAGGGGGCAAACGAGCATGCGGATCACCTGATGGTAAGTGACTACCGCCGCCCATGAACAACTGCAACACCAGGGGAATCGCAGATGCGTTGCCGGCCTTTTAAAAAGGAGTACGCTCTTTTCTTGAAGGTCCCTAAGTCGTATCGGTCCGGAAAAATCGCTGATGGTAATCGATTCCACAAGGAGGTCGTGCGAGGAAGAAAACATCTTCTAAATCGCACAGTGGTGGACCGCCAATCATCCAGATGGTGTGGATGGTATCGGGAGTTCTGCCGCGATGTGCGTTCGTGAAATTTGGCGGCTGGGATTAATCCGAACAATTCCTCAGAGCACTCCCCATGGTAGATGCGAAAGAAAATGCAAAGGGATGCAACATCTCTTCGCAGTGCCAATGAATCGAGCCGATCGGAAAGGGCTCGGTCGTCGACAATTCGAGCCGCTCTGCGTTGGATGCGGTCAAGTGGAAGGAGCTGGCACTGGGGAGCCCCTGCCCCGAGATGGGAACAGTATTCCATGTGAGGCAGAACTTGCGCCTTGTAAAGTAGCAGGCGGTGTGCCGGCATGAAATACTGTCCCGCTCTGCTGAGCACGCCAAGCTTTTTAGAGGCCAATTTGGCCTTCCCTTCCAAGTGACCACGAAACTGCACGTCACTCGATATGTCGACTCCGAGGATACCGATACTGGCTGAGGCAAGAAGGGGAGTGCCTTGAAACTGAGGAGATACGACAAAGGGGTTCTTTTTAGCGGTAAACGCGCAAACTTGTGTCTTCTGAGGATTAAATTGGACTAGATTTAGTCGCCCCCAATCCGAGACTTTGTTCAGCAAAGACTCGACTTCAGACACAAGTTTGTTCCGGTACTCAGCGACGTTTTCCCGAGAAATATTGGCACGGCCGGTGTATAGAGCATCACCAGTGCTGTCATCCGCATAGCAATGAATGTTACCAGTTAGCAACATATCATTGATATGCAGAAGAAACAGCGTTGGTGATAGCACACAGCCTTGTGGAACACCAGCGTTAATAGGCTTGTAGTCAGAGCATGCACCGTCTACAACGACCTTGATGCTCCGATCTGCAAGGAAGCTGGTGATCCAATTGCACAATTTCTCGGGAAGCCCATAGGAAGGGAGCTTCGAAAGAAGTGCTTTGTGCCAAACCCGATCGAAGGCCTTCGCAATGTCCAGACTAACGGCCAACGCCTCCCCCTTGGACTCTACTGCCTCCGCCCATCTATGGGTCAGGTAGACCAGAAGATCACCAGCTGATCGACCCCGACGAAAACCGTATTGGCGGTCACTAATCAGCTGGTGATCCTCAAGGTACCGGATGAGCTGGCAGTTAATAATGGATTCCATTATTTTGTAGAACAAGGAGGTGATCGCGATAGGCCTATAGTTGGATGGGTCTGAGCGGTCGCCTTTTTTAGGGATCGGGTGGACAAAAGCTGTCTTCCATGAATTCGGGACTACGCCTTGGGAGTAGGAGTACCGGAAAAGACGCGTTAGGACCGGTGCCAACTCCGGAGCACACGTCCTCAGCACAATTGGGGGGATTCCGTCAGGCCCACTCGACTTCTGGATGTCCAGGGAGAGCAGTGCTTTGCGAACCGAGCGCTGTGAGAACAGCACATCCGGCATGGAGCACTCACACCGCGGGATGGTCGGCGGTGTTTTCCCCCCGTCATCAAGAGTCGAGTTGGACGCAAAAAGGGAGCCTAAAAGGTCGGCTTTGTCTTTTGCGTCATGGGCCAGTGAGTCATCCTCCCTGTGCAGAGATGGTAGTGATGGCTTACAGAAATTCCCTTGGACAGCCTTGGCGAGAGACCGAATAATCCTTCTGTTTCTTCTTCTTATCGTCTGTGCTTTATTGAAGTGCATATTTATGCTATATGTAGCAGGAATGGTGGACATGAAAAGAATATAAAACAATGAGTGTATGCACAGAGTGAATCTATTAGAGTAGTAGAGTGGGGCTCTTCACTCTCTTGTGGAAAGTCAGAGTGTTTTTGATGGCTCCGTGGCACAGTGGCTTAGCATTGTTGTGGAGCTGAGGGCAGTGGAGGAATCCCGCACGGAACAAGTATTTGTTTGGCCTACAAGTAATTGTTCTGGGTCTTGATATTTGTCCTTCTATGTTTTTTTTTCCTATGTTTTTTTTCCTTGTATGTTTCGAAGGGAAGGCAGGAAATAGAGTTAATGGGGCTCTACACGCTATCATGAAGAGTCAAAATGTGTCAAAGAAGGCACGTATTGCAATTCATAATGCTGTGTTAGTCCCTACTTTAATGTATGGTAGTGAAAGTTGGGTCTGGCAGAAGAAGCATGAGAGTAGAATAAAGACTGTAGAAATGCGGTCATTACGGAGTATACTAGGGCTGAATCTGAATGACAGGGTGAGAAATAGTGTGGTATGCAAGATGACGTTGTGACTGAAGAATGAACGAGAAAAGAGTGACAAAGCAAATTTATGTTTCAGAAGTGAGCGACAAATCGGGAAGGGACGCCCTAGACAAATATTTATCGACCAAATCGGCGATACATTGAAAATGGGCCAGATTAGGAGTACCCTTAACCGACGAGCGTGTATGCGTAGATATATGGATGTGAAGGAGGCGAGAGAGGTGTGTCAGGATCGCGTCAAATGGAAGTCCGTAGTCTCTGCCTACCCCTCTAGGTGACAGGCGTGAGTGTTTGTAATGTATTGTATTGTATCTTTCTAAACTGCCTACTCCTGGTTTTCTTATAAATGAAAGTATGTTTTCTAAACAGAAAATAAAGAGAAAAGAATGTGCCAACAAGTAGTAAAATTAAAAATGTTGTACAACCAACTTCAATATAAATAAAATGAGAACATCATCAATGTAGTCGAATTCAGTTAAATACGCATCATTAAGGATAACTCAAAAATACTGGTCAGACCTTGATCAAACTTATATGGGACCACATGAGAAGAACCAGCTATCAAATAAGAGGCGTCAAAATCGGTTCACTTAAAAAATTCTGAGCTAACGCACATAAAAAAACAGTCGAATTGAAGACCTCTTCCTTGTTTGGAAGTTGGTTTACCGTCCCATCGGACTATGAGAGTGAGGAAATAGAGAATACAATTGTGCGTGCGCATACTTTTTATTTATTTATTTATTTGCTTTTTAAGGGAAACATACAGTACAATAATAAATTACACAATAAAACATATAAAAGTAATCCTAAAAACCAATGAAGTTTCCACAGATATCTATCTAATACATAATAAAAGATACTGTACACTATGATCCTGTGCTGAGCAGATGGCTCGTCTCCGTTGAGGCTGGCCGCCGTGGCCGAAGTTCTGATATTTCGTTATTTTTGATAGTCATATCGATTTTTCTGATTGCAGAATTAACGATATCCCGAAATACGCGAAACTGCACGAACGAAACGGCGACCCGATAAACATCGACGCTATGTATGTGGACACGACCTTTATCAAGGAGGAGTTCGAGGATTTTCCGAAGAGAAGCGACACAGTTGATACGATAATCGATGAAATTGATAAATGGCTGAGGACTGGCACGAAATATGCAGTGGCTATATATATGCCCGCCAATTTTACATACGAATTTATCTTCAATCAAATACACAAGAGATTAAATACAAAAGTGTATGTCAATGATAAGAAGTGGAGATTATATGGGTGGGAATAAGATTTTTTTTTTATAGAATAAGGGTGGCAGACGAGCTCGCAGTCCACCTGGTGGTAAGTGGGTGCTGAGGCCCACAGACATCTACATCTATCCTCGATTAAGAATCAAAATGCAGATGCCTTGTTACCCCTGACGACTGAGATGGAATGCCTTGTTTCCAGTGAAAAGGGTCTCCGGTTCTCTACATTCACCATACGTAACACAGAAGCATTAAGCTGCTATTTTACGCTGGTATTCTGTGAGAGCGTGGTCCTTCCTCGGTCGCGCCGACCCATTCGTGGTAAAATCATATTGCTGCAGTATAGCTCCACCACAAAAAAGTGGTAACTCTTACGTGACCGTATGCCTATATATTCTGACTTTGCTTACCCTTGTGTGGGTTTTGACGAACGCGGTGCCTAGTCAGAGTCTAAAAAATTGATAATTCATCCTTGATCAGAATAATCCTGTGGCGGTGGTGTAAGAATATCCACGACCCCATATCTATCCGCCGATGTTTTAAGTGGTGCCATAAGAAAGGTGAACCAGGAGAAAGGGTGCAACATGGCAACATCTTTCTGATAACAGCTGAATAAAAATAAAATCTGCGGTGGCCAAAGGTGGTCGCTTTCCAAGCGTGGGGTACTATGTCAATTGTCCCCCATATGGTGAAGTTCTACGATAATCAGTGGATTTTTTCGCATTTGGGTAAGACTGGGCACAGTCATAAAGAGCCGAGAGAGAAAATATGTGCTGTGCAGTTAGTATTTTCAGATAACGTTTATATAATATAATATAAATAACGATATGCACGTCTTTGTGTCTCATTATCACTATTAAGGCCATTGTCAAATCCACTGCTGACCGACCATACGACCATTTGACGGCTCCAGACTCTGTACAATAATTTGTTGGCCATACAAATACATACTATGCGATTCAAATATGAATAGGTCTCACCTGGCGCCATATTGTGACGTCATAGCTGTGTCTTCAAACCAGTTAGGTAGGGTAAGCAAAACAGATATTTTTGATATAATATTCATTTACAAAAAACCGTGAACGGTAAAAAGTATTAATCTGAATCCAGTATTTCAATTCCGTTCGTCTCTGCATCACTATCTAAGTAGCCTTACATTGTCATCACTGCTGCTTTCCCCTATATAAATAGATCATAGATTTATGTAGGTTTTTAAAATATTCCATCGAGTCAGTATCAATAATTTAAATTAATTTATAAAAATAATTATAAGTTTAATAGATTTGGTAATACTAATACTAATCTATAATGAATAAAGCGAAAAAAAAAATTATACGCAAATTAATTTTCTTTGCAAACCGTACTTTTTAAGTGACAGTTGACAAATCGCGGTCATTCGAGGTCATTGACGTTTCTATTCTTATTTGAATTGCATTGTACCAAACATTGACAACTAACATACGATTAGTAGAAATAAGAATACTTGTAATGTGTTGCTGTTTAATATACATTTTTTTTCTTATAGCACAATACCGGAACTTGTTCCGGGCATAACAAACGACGACAGCGAGACTCGGATACACCTGTGCACCTCCAGATCCGAACGAAACTCACATTCGTCGTGCGTGAGTCAAGAACACGAGAAATACCTCTTTGTTTATCTCACCGCAATGAAGTGGGAAAACTATAATGTCGATTTTACACCCGTGAACCGGGTAACCCCCACCAGACTCGACGCTTGCTTTGCGACTCACTGTTCACGGCGAGAGGTAGTAAGTTTTGTCAGTTATTTTAAGCCGGTGAAAGTGGAAGGGTTTCCTAACGATTATGTGGCTGCCACACCAATTAAGAAAAAGAATGATGAATTTGTGCTTTCACCCAAAGATAGAAGCATTCCTGGTGTTAAAAGGAAATGTGATACGACCGTTGACAAAGAAAATATGAAGAATGTAACAAAGAAGATTTTTTGACGATGGCTAACATGCCGAATGGCTTGAGAAGTTCCCCACGTATCCTCCAAAAGCTTGTGCATTTTATGCTTTAAGAACTTCTTTGTCTGATTTTTGTCTCTGTAAGGATCTCTAAGATCTCCAGAGTCTGTACTTATTATACAGGTTATACACTTTTACATGTTATGAATCATGATACAACACCAAGTCACTTTTCACAATAAAAAGATGGAAGGTTTACTGAAGTAAGCATGTGACCATGTCATAAAGGCTGACAAGATCCCACCACAAAGTGGTGAGGAAAACAAAGAAAATTGTCATGTAATGTTAGTACGCACATGAAAAAGACATTAATTTTGACTTAACAAACAACAATTTTGACGACGACAGCTCAACTAGTTGTGGTGCAAGTAATTAAATAAATTTATTTTTAATCTAGTGCAGTCTTTAATTTTTATATAACTTTTTATTTATTTATTTTTATAATAAACAACACAATTAAAAATTAACATGTCGGAATTACTACACTCGTAGAATGACTTAAGTGGAATCTTTCTCGCACAGCGCCTACAGTGAACTTTATACTGCACAAACTAATGGAGGTTTCTTGATATACCCTCAATTCTACCCCGCCACCGTCGATATCACACTCTGCTAGAGTGATGCAACCTCTCGCTCACTCTCGATCCATCCGGTATATATTCATTTACTTACAAAAGAAAAATCTGTTTTGGAAAGGTTTTCCAAAAATGGTAATCGTTATAAATATTTAGATCGTCGACATAGTGTATTGGCGGCGTAAGGATGCGTTCACAATTAGGGTGTGATTTGATTCGATACAAGTACTTTTCTTCATTCGATACTAAAACTACTTGGCATCGAAAAAAAAGTATCGAGTACTTCTGATATGCTAGACAAGTAATACAGTTACACATTCTTTTTTGTTAGAAGTCTAACATAAACATGGGTCCTATAATTTCTAAACCAACATGAGCTTCTCAGCATGATACAATTTGTAATGGAGATATCTGCAATAGAGTTAGAGTAATAGACGTATCCTAAAGAATCAGTACGCTGACCTCAGCGTTCAATATGCAAATGGCAGTTCATATAGCTCGAGTAACAGACAACTGATGGGGAAGAAAAGCTTTCGAGTGATTGACTCATACCAGTAAGCGTAATGTAGGGAGGCTTCACTAGATTAACCGGTTCAGTGCGGATGGCACGCCAGGAGTGCGATCGATTACTTTTGTGCGTAGCGTATGACACGTGAGTCGTGTCTTTTTTTAAAATCGCGATATCTCGCTCAAATTGCGTTTTTGGAAGATTTATCCAGAACAAAATATTCATTAATTTGCAAGTAGTTTATGCCTACAGCTTCGTTTCTGGATATTTTGAAATTTTGAAATTTTTAGGGGTGGACAACATTCTTTTAACTTGTACATGGTACTCTTTTCACTTTGTGGGTTTTTTAAATCATGTTGTGGAAAAATAGTCTAATAAGTAACAAATAATAGCACTCATTGCGATCGCTCACAAACTCAAGTTGTAAATAAATTTTTGGAAAACTAGTCTCCTGTTAAAAAAACAATGCATTTATCTTATTCTTTAATTTTGCTTAAAATAGTTGAACTGCCGTCTTATTACTAATCATATGACAGAATAGACCTACAAAGTACCATGTGCTCTTGTGATATGGTATAAGGTTTATTTTTTGCTTGAAACAGTTCGAAACCGTTCATGCATAAAAAAGTTTGCTAATAAATACTCTTTTGTCAATCCGCCGTGTTTTTTTTTTGAAAACACTTGTTTTGCTATTCTTACTAATTAGACGGTTTCAGATCGACTTTACTTTTACATTTGTATAACATTAAATAATATTTAACATTTGTAAATATCAATGAATCATAAACCTTATGCTTTTACAAAATAAGGTTAATATTGAATTTAATAAAAAGCAAGGTTTTGCAGGGTGATTTGGCTGTACCTACCCATATAAATGATTTTTTATAAAACTAAAAATAGTACAAAAGGTTTGTAATCTCTGCATAAAAAAAGTCACTTACTCCCAATTTCAAAGAAAACACGTAGAGAAACACGTAGCTACCCACTAAAAACAAGTATCCTTCCGTTTGTAACTGATGTTTGATGTCAACTAAACTTAATTAGGTCTAAACAAGTGAAATAAAGCATAAAAAACATAATTACTTTTACACATGGCTGATGGCACAAAAGGCGTGTCACGAAATATTTGTTCGCCGCCACAGCTAAAAGTTGTCGAAAATCGGTGCCGCACTTTGTGGCATACCTTGGGGGAGTCCTATGTTCAGCAGTGGACTTGTGATGGATGAATAGATAAATATTTATTAATTTTAAAAGTTTAATTCTAAGGGTAACATCACAATATCTGAACAGGGTATCACCCATGCTAGTTACTTTACATATGTGCCATTTAATCACTTTTGTAATTTTAATAAGGTGTACAATTACAAAAATGTAATTTAGAAAATTTCAAAGGGAAGGTGATGTTGAGTAGTGGACTTTACTTGTATTTAATCTTTTTTTTATAGGATAGGGTGACAAACGAGCACACAGTCCACCTGATGGCAAGTGGTTGCTGTGACCCTACATCTATCCTCAATAAAGACTCAAAATGCAGATGCGTTGTCACCCGTGAGGACTAAGATAGAATGCCTCTTTTCCAGTAAAAAGCGAGTGTAGAGAACCGGAGACCCCTCCGGTTCTCTACATTCACCATACGAAACACAACAGCATTAAGCTGCCATTTTACGCTGGTATTCTGTGAGAGCGTGTTCCTTCCCCAGTCGAGGCGACCCATTTGTGCTACTACTATACTACTACTATAGCTGCAGCATGGCTCTACCACGTATAATCTTTCAACTTATTTACATTTAATAAATAATAATAACACTTATTTGCCACTATATAACGGTGGTAGAGCCTTGCAGCAGCTTTTGCTGTTGCACGTATGGGCCGGCTCGAGCCGGGTTAGTACCACGACCTCACAGAATACCGGCGTGAAGTGGAAGTTCTGCTAACGCGTTTCGTCTGGTGAGTGCAGGTGACAGGATGCCCAATTCCCCCCCCCCCCCCCCCCCATCAACATGGTAGCGGAATTACACGAAGAACTACCCCAGGAGGGTACCAGTACCCCTGGAGAATCCCTCGCTGAGCATCCACGACCATGCTATTCCACTCCTGAGCGTGGGTGCTCAGGCTGCCCCGCGTATTCTGGGGGGGGGGGGGGGGGGCAAAATTCCGCTCAACACAATAACTGCTCGGGGCAAACTGAGCAACAAGACCAAGGCGACCCCTGCCACGCTATCCGTGAATTTCTGCAACATCAGGGGACTTCACTCGAACCTAAACGCCGTCCACTACCATCTTGAGACGGCGAAGCCGGCCTTGCTCTTTCTGACCGAGACGCAGGTGTCCTCTCCGGCTGATACTTCGTATCTCTCCTACCCGGGGTACAAATTGGAGCACTCCTTTGTGCCTCGGGCTGGAGTTTGCGTGTATGTCAGAGAGGACATCTGTTCTCGACGCCTCGGCAGTCTTGAAGGTTCGGACCTGTCCATCCTTTGGCTACGCGTAGACAGCGACGACCATCCGCGCGTCTACGTGTGCCTCTATAGGTCCCATAGCGGTAATGCCGAAACAGACCGACTCATCGACCACGTCCAAATGGCTACAGATTCCTTGCTACAACAGGTCCTTCCTTGTTGGACCTTCTGCTGACCTCTCATCCGGACGGATATCAGGTTTCCGTCGATGCCCCTCTTGGCTCTTCGGACCATTGTCTGATCCAGAGTGTGGTGCCACTCACGCTCCCCTCGCGGTTGCGTTTTGCAGGTTGCCGCCGTGTTTGGCATTACAGGTCGGCGGATTGGGACGGAATGCGGTCTTTCTTTGCTTCCTACCCATGGGGGCGGGTTTGCTTCTCGCCGGATGATCCCAGCGCTGTTGCTGACTCTGTCACTGATGTAGTGCTACAGGGAATGGAACTATTTACTCCATCATCTGTGGTACCCATCGGAGGCAGATCTCAGCCTTGGTTTGGTCGCTCCTGTAAGACTGCATTACGCAGTAAGCAGGAGTGTTATCAAGCCTGGGCTGCGGCTTCGGTGACTCGGGATGTAAACACCAGCACACTCAAAAAGAAGTATAACTTCGCCTCCAGGTCCTTCAAAAGAGTTATTGCCAAGGCAAAGTCAGAGCACATAGGCAGAATTGGCGAGAAACTAGTTCGCCTTCCTTCGCGAACCCGTGCATTCTGGTCTCTCGCCAAGGCTGTCCAAGGGAATTTCTGTAAGCCATCACTACCATCTCTGCACAGGGAGGACGACTCACTGGCCCACGACGCAAAAGAGAAGGCCGACCTTTTAGGCTCCCTTTTTGCGTCCAACTCGACTGTTGATGACGGGGGGAACACACCGCCTACCATCCCGCGGTGTGAGTGCTCCATGCCGGATGTGCGATTCTCACAGCGCTCGGTTCGCAGAGCACTCCTCTCCCTTGACATCCACAAATCGAGTGGGCCTGACGGAATCCCCCCAATTGTGCTGAGGATGTGTGCTCCGGAGTTGGCACCGGTTCTAACGCGTCTTTTCCGGTACTCCTACTCCCTAGGCGTAGTCCCGAAATCATGGAAGACAGCTATTGTCCACCCGATCCCTAAAAAAGGCGACCGCTCAGATCCGTCCAACTACAGGCCTATCGCCATCACCCCCTTGTTCTCCAAAATAATGGAATCCGTTGTAAACTGCCACCTCATGCGGTACCTTGAGGATCACCAGCTGATTAGTGACCGCCAGTACGGTTTTCGTCGGGGTCGATCAGCTGGTGATCTTCTGGTCTACTTAACTCATAGATGGGCGTTGGCAGTAGAGTCCAAGGGGGAGGCATTGGCCGTTAGTTTGGACATTGCGAAGGCCTTCGATCGGGTTTGGCACAAAGCGCTTCTTTCAAAGCTCCCTTCCTATGGGCTTCCCGAGAAATTA